TTAACACATCATATGAAGGGCTAAGAGAGATCTAAACAAGTTTCCTGGATTTCCCACACATTCCCATCGGCTCTCATGTTTAATGGACACTGGATGGCTTATATCGTAAAGCCCAAATGTCTGACCTGGGGAAAGACGAGCGCTCTCTCTCCAGATATTCTCCCAGTGCTTTCTGGATCTTTCCCAGCAGGTCAGCGAGTCTCTCCAGCGACCTCTGAACCCCCTGAATGTTCAGGACGTCCATGACCAGAGGAGACTTGGTCACCTTCTTCATCAGGGCCAGAAACTCCGTGCTGATGCTGTGAAATCAAACGAATCACATGTTAAAGCCTAACGCCTGCGCTCTTCAGCACACTGATGTAATGGAGTCAGCCGCTGACCTCTGGAAGCGCTGCGTCTCCACAGGAAGCAGGTGTTTGATGTCTGCGCTTCCTGTGAAAATGCCTTCCAGGTAAACCCAGCGGCGCTGCACGTCGATCCAGACGTCAAACAGAGCCATGATGCGGTTGAGTTTGTCCTCCCAGCTCAGAGCGTCCTCCTCGAACACCTGCCGAGAACAGAGACGTGTGACGGAGGAACTGCTGTGACGCATCGTTTCTCTCGTTCTGTGTGTGTACCTTGTAGTAGGGCGAGAGCTTCATGGCAGACACGCTGTTGATGTGCTCCTTGACTTTGTTGAACAGATCGTCCCATCCGCGAATCAGGCGGCACTTGTTCTGATAGTTGACGAGGTCGAGCTCGTACGAGTTCCAAACTTCACGAATCTGCAGTGAAGAGGAAACTGTGAACACACAGCTTTAAAGAGCACCTGTTATTCCTCTTTTACAATATGTAATATGTGACCCTGGAGCACAAAACCAGTCATAAGGGTCTGGAAATTTGAGCCAATTGGATAAATAATGCAACTATAATTGTGTGGGTGTGTTGTTATGGATGTCAGAGTGTGGTTTGTAGGAGTGTCATAAAAAAAAAAAATTGTGCCCGTGTTCTTGTAATATTTGAGAGAAAAACTCTACTGCAAATCACAAATCCAACCACTGTGTGCACCAGCAGAGTTTTGCTGGCATCTAATGGGGAAAATTTGGTACTGCGCCCAAACAAAATCTTACTGAAAGCTAATTTTTTGAGATATCAACCTCAAATTTGGAATACAACTTTAGATTTATGGCTTTGATTTTCTAGCAGGTATAGAGTTCAACAGGTTTCATAAAATATATATTTTATATAAAATATCATTCATAAATCATTTCATAAACTTAAACCTCTATAACTTTTTTTTCGTTTCACTTTTTAAAGTTTTTTTTTACTTCAACAATAATCTGCCATGGGTCTTCTTTAAAATGAGACCAAACTTAACTCTGTGCTCCCAAGCTTCAAATTTTTATGACAGTTTTTTGACATGGACATTTTTGTCCACTATGAACCCATGTGTAACTTTTTTTAAATTGACGCACAAGGGTTAAAGGGGTCATGAACTGAGAAACCAAAATTTCCTTGATCTTTTGACATGTACAGTTGATGTCAAAAGTTTACATCCCCCTTTCAGAATCTGCAAAATGTTAATTATTTTACCAAAATAAGAGGGATC